GCCGCGCGCGGCGGGGGGCCAGCCTTGGGAGCCGTAGCGGCCAGGGCGCGTGTCGGCCCGGGAGCAGGGCGGGCAGAGCAGGGAGGGCCGGCTGCCTTGGGCTCAGTGGCCCTGACCCCTGACCGGGAGGCCCCTGAAATCAGCTCAGAAAGCTGCCCAGGTAGAAGGGGGAGCAAAACCATTTCCGGCCTCAGACCCGAGCAGCAGGCTGGGACCACAGCACAGTGGCATGCGTACTGGACCCCCCCGCATGCCTGATGGCCGGCCCCCAACACCCGCAGGGCCGTGGCCCCGCACACCCTGCCAGCCAGGACTTTGCCCCGCTTCCCCCGACTGGGCTTCCTCCCTCACTTCGCCCTCTTGTCCACACCCACTGAAGAGGCCTCGCACCGAGGGCTGGGGCTCATAGGACCATCTCTACCAGCTGCTGCACGTTTTCGAGAACATTCCAGACTCCTGAGCAGACGCCCGAGCGGCACACAGTGCTGAGCTCACATGCGACGCAAAGGGCGTAGCCGGAGCCAGGCCACTCACCATCTCGTCCAGGGCGTAGCGCAGCAGGCCGTGCTCGTAGAGGATGAAGAACCGCCGCTGCCATTTCTGCAACAGAGCACAGGGGGCGGTTAGCAGGGCCCGGCCCCACGAGCACCCGAGACCCCGAGTCTGACACCCCGCGACTGACGTAGGCGGGCTCCACAGCTTCCATTTCGGGCAGAGGGCAGGAAAAGAGGGACCTGAGGCCTGAGAACAGTGACTCACTGGACCAGGAGGGAGGCCCGGATCCCACTTGAGTTACAGAGGTGTAACAGGAAGACTGGGGAGTTCGTCGGGGCAGACATGACGTGTGGTCACCTTCCTGCATCCTTCCAGGCACCCAGACGGCACATGTCACGTGACATGTGTCACTACCCATCTGACAAACGACCCGGCCTGCCGTACAGTGCCCAGGAATGCTAGGTCACTGACTCGCCACTTCTGAAAAAGACTGGGAAACTGACATAAAAGGGGTGTTCTGATGGCCCACAGGGAGACAGCAGGCCAGCGACAGCCAGGGTCCAGAACCCACCCATGTGGGATGGATAGCAAAATCAGACGGGGACCCAGAGACAGCCCCAGCTCCACGGGAGCAGCTGGCGGCAGCAGCCGGCCTACTCGGCTCTACCGAGGCTGGACCGCTGGGAGTGCTGAGGGTGGGCAGACGCCACCAGGAGCTGGGGTGAAAGGTCTAAGAGGCAACGGGTCTCCTGTTTGTGGGGAGAAAGGCTGTCTATAATGCAGGTGGACGGGCGAAGGCATGGCTGACCAGCACGGTGTCGGAGCCCCAAGGGTTGCACGAGGGACCAGGCCATAGGCTGGCCTTCCGGAAAGCCCAGCACCGTCGGACTGCTACTGGCAGTACAGCCAAAGAGCTCGCCGTCTCTCGGCTTGAGACCAGAACTTGACCATCTCTAGCAGCGATTCTCCCATCGCAAGCTGGAGGCGGGGATTCTCTGCGAACCTGACAAGAAGCAGGAAGAGGAAGCCCTCTCTGACGGACAGTCAGTCGCTCCCGAGTCCTGCCACCAGGTGAAAACCAGAAGCTGCTCAGGAGGGTCTGTCCTGGATGGCGAGGCAGGGAGTGAGGCAAAGGGCCTTACAAAGAGGACCTGCTTCCAAGCTGGAGTCAGGGCAGGGGATACCTGGATGCATTCCCCCCCAAAACCTCCAAGGTTGTATGTCCTTTGAAATCAAACCCGCTCCAGAAAGAATCCTAAAGACCGGAGCCAAAAGGTCTGTGGGGCCAGAAGATGCTACCTGAAGCTGCTAGCGCAGAGCCTACGGCTCAGGACGGGGAGGGGTGGGCAGGCTTCCGGGATGTGAGAAGGGAACGAGCCAGCTGGGGCCATCCGAAGGAAGGCACGAGGGAGACGTGAGGAAGGCGTGAGCAGCGACCAGACAGGGGCATGTGAAAACACAGGGAGAGTGCTCTCACTGGGGTCACACTCGAGGGGCTTCCTGGCAAAGGGACAACCAGCCTGTGGACAATGCTGGCTTGACCATCCTGCTGTCCTAGCAGGAGCAGCTGGGGTGCCAAAGAGAGACAGCCAAGGCCATCCAGCCCTCACCCATGCCACAGCTCGGGAGGGAGGGTCATGGCTCTGAAGGGCCTGGAACCTACTTGGCAAACCACAACCATGTGGCCCACCTCTGCCTCGCCACACAACTGTGTCTAGAGTCTGGCTGGCCCATAAAACAGGCGACGCCCACCCTGAGTCCACTGCTCAACTCGGGGCTCCCTCGTCCACTCTGCCAACTTGCCCTCCAGTGGGTCCCTTTCTCCACCCCTTGCACCCTGAGATCGGCTCTGATGCCCTTACCCGAGACCGGTGCACTGGGTTGTCAAAGTCAGTCCCATCTGGAGCCAGGAGCAGCCAGCCACCGTAAATGGGCTTTGCCTAGAGAAGAAAGAGGATGGCAATTGTCAGTGGCCTTGGACCAGGGAAAGAACAGGTCAGGCTGGTGACAAGCACAGGTGTCACCTTTGCTGAGCAGACACCATGCCCCCGTAGCTGGGGCTCAGTTCCCAAGTGAACCTGGTAGGCATTCTGCAGTGTCCGGTATGGAAAGGGAAACCAGAAGCCCAGGGTGTCTGGAAACCTGCAAGTCACAGGTATCTCAAGCACCAAGACCAGGACAAAATGGTTTTACTCAATAAATACGTGCATGCCAGGGCCAGCGGGTGGCGTGGTGTTTGGGGTGCTGGCCTCCCATATAGCCGACTGCAGCTCAAGTCCCAGACCTGTGGCTTGAGAATCACACTGGGTGCATGTGTGTGCATGTAGGCCAAAGGTCCCAGGAGGAGATTGGAGGGAGGGGATTGCAGTGTGGCCACCGCCCCCAGGGGGTGATTTCTCCCTTTCCCTCTCTCAATCTCTGTCTCTCTGTCTCACTCTGGCAAGCGCATACACCTTATGGCAAAAACCTTAAAAATAAGTTAAAAGCTAATAAATGAACATGTGAATGCCAGTGTGTGCCGGGCCCCAGGGATAAACTAAAGGACACAGCCAAAGTCTTCATCCTGAAGACAGGAACCGAGGCCTGGGAGGAGTGACGCTGCACGGTGATCGAAGCACTGGTCGCACTGTCAGCCGACAGGCGTGTGGCCAGAGGCAAGAACCCTGAGTTTCTACTCCCCCATCTGGAAAGTGGGGTGACACTTCCACCTGCACCCCACAAAGTTTATGTGAGGATGATAAGATGATGCAACTAAAACCCGGACAGGCAGGTCCAACCATGTAGCTGCTTCCGAAATGCCCGGCGGCTCCCTTAGCCAGTCCCACTGCCAGGTCCGTGCACCCGAGAAGCTGCGAACGACGTGGAGGAAAACCTGCACACGACGTGCACCAGGCTGGGACTCACGCACCAGAAAGCCGGAATCACCCGACGTCCCACCGAAGACACGGCGAGCAAATGTGGCTGTGCACACAGCAGAATGCCTTTCCCCACACAAGGGAGTGAGTTCGGATCCACGCTAAGGCACGCTGCGCCTCCAAGCACCGTGCTGCCTGGGAGGAGCCAGACACAAAAGCCCACGCAGCACAGTGCCCACCACACGCACCGGCCAGGGTGGGCGCGCAGGACACGCACTGGGAGAGGTCGCCAACGGGCACGGAGTTTCTTTACGGGTGACGAAAATGTTCTGGAATTAGACAGGAATGACGATTGTGCAACTTTGCAAATACGCTAAAAACCACTGATTTGTACACTTTAAAAGGGGAAATTTTATGGTATGTGAATTAAATCTCAATAAAATAAAATGGGGAAAAAACCACACTGGGCACTGTGTGTGATGCACAGGCACTCAGTAACTGCTGTATTTTATATCTAAAGAGCCCCTCACGCCCAGCTCCTGGGCAACAGCGGCGCATCCTGGGCTGCGGGACCTAGGCAGACACTTGGTGCCATCTGCTTGCCTGGCTCATCCAGCCGGCCAGAGGGCACGGACAGACATGAAACCACAAGGACTCACTGCTGTGGACATGGGGGTACACCCTCCTGAAAGGGCTGTCATACCACCTCATTTGACAGCTGTGGAATCTGTGACTCAGAGAGGGCAGGCCGCTTGCTGGAGGTCATGCAGCATTCGGACTGAGCCAAGAACCTCTGTATTCTAAGCTTCTGTCTGTCCTCAGGCCCCCAGAAAGCACTGGCTTTTCCTGTGCAGAGGAGATTAGAAGGGCTGTGGGCCAGGGTGGAGGGTGGGCTACACGAAGGCCAGGAGAGACCAGACATGGTGAAGCAGGGGAGTCCGTGATCATGGAGGGCTGGGCATCAGAGCAACATGGCCCAGGAGGGCCCAGGGGCCCAGAGTGAAACCCTGTCCAGGAAGGCGGGCGCCACAGGGAGCAGTCCGTCTGCTCGGTGCCCAGGCAGGCCAATGCCCTGGGCCTCTCCCACACGCTCTGATCTGAGCGGAGCCCCTTCTCCCCCACCAACCCTGCATGGGCACAGGAATGCAGCACCGGGGCTGGATTCTGTGTGTCCTGAGCCCAGTGATACCTCCTTTCCACCCCATGAAGCCAGGAGGTCACTAGAGATCACAGGCCACCCCTCTCCACCCCCAGCTTGACATGTGCCACCTTTCTGGCCTCTGGCTACAGGGCTCTGGGGCAATGACCCAGGGTCATCCACCTCAACTTTCACCAAAGGGCAGCGGGGGACTGCACTGGTTTCCTCGGCACCAGGCCACTGCTGGCGCTGCGTCACCCACTCGTCCCTGGGTCTGCCGTGGTCCTGACTGCCCAGACACATCACCGAGGGCACTGGCCTGGGGTCAGCCTGGGTGAGCAGGGCACAGGGCGAGAGGCGGGCTCAGAGGGCATGTGGGCCAGGACCCAGGGGGCTCCGAGGCGACAGCACGCACCAAGGCAGAGGAGATGGGGTGCCTGGGGCCAGGGCAGAGGTGGGGTGACAGTCAGGGGTGCGACGCTGCCTAGGGGCTGATGAAATGCTCTCGGAGCCATGGAGGTGACAACTGCACATCTCCTGGCATATAAAGATCACCGAATTATACTTAAGTGGGACAACTACAGGATATGTGAGCTACATCTCAAGAGAGCCGTTTAGAAAAACCGTTTGCAGGGACAGCACATGGCGTAATGGTTATGTCACTGGACTCCCACACAGTCAACCACAGTTCAAGTTCTGTACCTGGAGACTTAAAACTCATGCTGAGGGGGACCAGCAGATGGCATAATGGTTGCATCACTGGACTCTCACGTAGCTGACCAGGGTTCAAGTCCTGGACCCAGTGGCTTAAAACTCACGCTAGGTGCGTGTGCATGCGTGCCCAAAATGCCGAGAGGAGACGGGATTGTAGAGTAGCCATTCCCCTTGAGGGGGTGATTTCTCGCTTTCTGTCTCTCTGGTGAGCAAAAATAGCAAAAATCTCTCTTAAGAAATTAAAAAAAGAAGAAAGAAAGAAAGAAAAGCCATTTACAGGCCAGTAGGTGGTGTGGTGGTTAAGACATTGGACTCCAATGTGGTCGACAGCAGTTCAAGTTCCTGGAGGCCTGCTTTCTCACTTTCCCTTCCTCTCTCTCTCTCTCTCTGGTCAAATTAAAAATAATAATAAAATTCAATAAATGATTCTTAATTTTTTTAAATTAAAATTTGCCATAACCTGTCGTAACCACGGGGTGGCTATTTGGGGAGACTGTTCCTGCCTCCAAGGGCTCGTAGTCCAAAGGCAGCAGGAGCCACCCAGAGGCCTCCGGGCAGGATGTGGGATACTCCAGTGAGAGACAGGGACGATGGTAACAAGGGGCAACGGCCTGGCGCACTGGTTTGTGGAAAAAAGCTGGAGTGAGCCCAGCAGGGGCAGCATGGAGCCAGGGAGCAGGGTCCCAGGGGCTGCATCGGGGAGAGGGTAGAGCAGACGCTGCTCAGAGGCTGGCTCTGCAGCTGCAGCTGGAGGGTAACAGGAACCTGCAGATGCCCAGGTCAGCAGAGGGCAGCGAAGGCAACTGACACCTGCATAAGCACAGGAGCACAGGCTGGTGAAGGAGCAAGGACACCCCCACCCATCCCAACACACGCACACACATGCACACACGGGCAGCTGGGGTGGGCGGGGAGGAGAGGACCATGAGACATGGGCACAGTGACAGCAGAGGTGCAGACGCAGGACAGACCTCGCCTAGAGGCTACGGGAGCTGCCTCCCACCCTTCAGTGCCTCTTAGAGAGAACTCCTGGGTTTAATGCACCACACAGCGCAGAGAGCCCAGTAGTGGGTTCTCCACTGGTCACTTCTCCCCCTACAGCCTCCCCTTGGGCCTCCTCAGCTCCCCTGGCCTGGCCATCCACCTGGCAGACCCTCCTGCCTCTCACGGCTCCACAGAAACGAGCCCCGGCTGGTCTCTGCAGTCACCCTGTGGTTACGACGACGCATGTGCACTGTGCTCGCTCTGCAGCCGCACTGTCAGGGCATGGCTGCTCCTCACCCCAGGGCCTCTGCTCAGGAAGGCAGGGCAGGGCAACCCCGAGGCACCTCTGCAGAGGGAGGGAAGCTGCAGCCTAAGGTCAGCTTGAGGACGAAGCTGTGGGAAAAGCCTCCCAGGAAGAGTTGCTGCACCCCCCGCCCTGTCTCAGAAGATCTAAAGATGCCACGTCCTCCCCACCATGGCAGCCCTGCCTGCCTGCAAGTCCAGAAGTGCCCGGCTCCAGGCTCACGCGGGGACAGGGCACAGCTGCTCTGCCTACCACAAGCCAGCGCTCACCTGCTTTGAGGGCAGGGCTCTGACCGTCCCATGGCATCCTCCTCCTGAGGGCCCCATGATAACCTGAAATGCAATGTCTAGAACACAGAGCCTGAGCCAAGTGGTGGTGCAGCAGTAACGCAACTGGACCACATAGGAAAGGTTCCGGGTTCATGTCCCGAGACCTCTCTAAGCACATCGCGTGCACACTCATTCCCATGATCCCAGCTGGCTGAGACGGTGGGTGGGGGTCAGTAGAAGCATAAAGACCCTGTTAGGGAGTTTCTATCTCTTTGTCTCTCTCCCTCTCTCATAGACGAAATAAGTTAAAAGTGACTACACAAGCTTGCCTTGGGGTGCTTCCCCTGTGGCTCAACTCAGACTTCTTTTTTTGGAGAGATTTGTTTTTGTTTTTGTTTTTGTTTTTGTTTTGTTTTGTTTTGTTTTCACTATAGGGCATGTGTGCTCGCCGGACAGAGAGAGACAGAGAGACAGAAAGCGAGAAATCACCCCCCGGGGGGATGGGCATGCCGCAATCCCTTCTCCTCCATTCTCCTCTCGGGATCTTGGGCATGCACGCACACACGCCCGGCGTGAGTTTTAAGCCACCGGATCCAGGACGCGAACCACGGTCGACTATGTGTGAGTCCAGCAACATAGCCATTACACTAA